GTAAAGATGATGACGAGAGTAAAATACAAACGAAAATTCAAAAGAAAGAAAAAACAAACAAATCGAACAAGAACAACAAGTGCAACTGAGCATCACACAGCAACACCAACACAATCAATCACAATATCGCAAACATCAATAACAAAGACAAAAACAAAACAAAGAAAAACAAACAAACAAACAAACAAGCACCCGCAAATATCGACAACGAAACCAGACACACCACGGAAGATAAATACATAAATAAATAAACATCTCTTTCCAAAATAGACATTATAGTTTTATCACACGCAAAATCTCCCTTTTATCTGTCATGCTTCCCCGCGATCGGAACGCAGTAGACACACACCACTACCTGCTCCACCTCCACCTCCACCTCCACCTCCACCTCTACCTCTACCTCTACCTCCACCTTCACCTCCACCGTCTCCTTTCCTTCCACCTCCACCTCCTCTATCTCCTTTCCTTCCACCTCCACCTCCACCTCCACCGTCTCCTTTCCTTCCACCTCCACCTCCACCTCCACCTCCACCGTCTCCTTTCCTTCCACCTCCACCTCCTCAATCTCCTTTCCTTCCACCTCCACCTCCTCAATCTCCTTTCCTTCCACCTCCACCTCCTCAATCTCCTTTCCTTCTCCTTCCACTTCCACTTCCACCTCCACCTCCACCTCCTCCTTTTCTCCTTTTCCTTTTCATTATCATTCTCTTCTCATTCTCATTCCCCTATTCCTACTCCTAATCCTACTCCTTACTGTCCTCCTCCGCACAATCTTCCTCCATATTGTCCTCCTCTTCCTCATTGTCGTCCACCTTTTCCTCTTCACTGTCGTCCTCCTCCTCCTCCTCCTCCTCCTCCTCCTCCTCTCTCCTCCTCTCTCCTCCACCTCTTCCTCACTGTCCTCCTCCTTTTCCTCTTCACTGTCCTCCTCCTCCTCTCTCCTCCTCCTCTTCCTCACTGTCCTCTTCCTCACTGTCCTCTTCCTCACTGTCCTCTTCCTCACTGTCCTCCTCCTCCTCTCTCCTCCTCCTCTTCCTCACTGTCCTCCTCCTTCTTAAGCACAATCACATGTAATGGGGGGGGGGGCAAGTACAAGCACTGGCAATGGGGGGCAAGCATAAGCACAGGCAATGGGGGGACAAGCACAGGTATTGGAAGGACAATCTCGGCCTCCGACGCGACCCGAGGCAAAGAGAGCCGAGGTCACGTGACCCCGCGTGGCTCAGGAGGAAAGAAGGTCGGGAAGCAGCTGAGGGGGTGGGGGGGTAGGAGGCACGCCACGTGAATCTGGTCACGTTTGGGGTTGTAAAACAAACAAACAAACAAACAAAAATCACGAGGGAGCCCTGATTCTGCTGAGGATCGCCAACCGACACGCATATAGGCTCACGCACGCAACCACGCCCGCACGCACGCACGCGACAGACGCCAGTGAAGGAACTAGTGTCCTTCTTGAACTGCCTGGACCGACCTCAATGACCCTCCATCCCTGCCCCCCCCCTCCACCCCCTATCCCCCCTATTCCCCCCTTCTCCCCACCAAGCCTTCACACCTTACCAAAATTTTCGCGAGAAAAAACATTTCAATGAAAAACAAACAGATTATAAACATTTAGAGTAAACAAAGAAAAAAGGGAAAAAAAAACAAAAAAACAAGCGGCAGCAGAAACATCACTCACAAGGAAAACATTCCCCCAAAGAAAGGATATCTCCAAAGTAAACAAAGCCAATCGCAAATACAATGCGAGGACAAATAACAGTGAACAAAAATCCTCACAATGTAATTGCAAGACATACAGACAGAGACAGACAGACACAAACATACAATAACAGCAAATCAATAAAAAAAAAAGTAACTGACTAACAAACACGAGCTCGGAGTCCTCTCTGACCGCAGCCCCGCCCTCGGCCAGTCAGCCACGGGAGAGAAAACGCCACACCAGCTGACTGCCCTTCTCCCAGCTGACGCGCCGCCCCAAAACGCCCACCGACCGCCTCCGTCAGCCAGCTCTTGGGCCTCGCCGCGGAGGGAACCCAGGCCGCACGCCGTTGGGTCGCTGGATGGCATGGCACCTCGACTCTCGGCCATGATGTGTGCGAGGAGGTGGGAGGAGGTGGATGGTGGTGGAAAGCGGTGGAAAGCGGTGGAAAGCGGTGGAAGGTAGTGGAAGGAGGTAGAGGGTCCAATAACAACAACAACAAATCGGAAAGTACCCAGCCGACACGGAAAAGCAAAAACCCACAAGGGCCCAAATTATCCAACAAAAATACCAACAACAACAACAAATAAATAAACAAAACAAAATAACATGCACGTTCATGACGTTTCATAATGGACGTCAACCGAAAGCGCTAATGAGCTCATCGGCGGCGCGTCCGGTCTCTCGCTCTCTTCGTTTTCCCTTCATTCGTCTGGTTCTCTTTCTCCTCTTGCCTCTCTCTCTATCTCTCCTTCCTTTCCCTTTTCCGTTTACTTTCTCTCGTTCTATTTCTCCTCTTGCCTCTCTCTCTATCTCTCCTTCCTTTTCCTTTTCCCTTTACCTCCTATGTCCTTCTGTTTACCATTATGGCACGGAGTATTCCTTCCTCCTTTCCTCTGCGTCAGTGTATGTCGTCGATCTTGTATGTCTGTATGCCTGTAAGTATATCTCTGGATTTCCGCCCGTCCTAAGTCTGTCTCTTTGTCTGTCAGCCAGCCTGTCTGTCTTTCTGCCTGTCAGCCTGTCTGTCTGTCAGCCTGTCAGCCTGTCTGCCTGTCTGCCTGTCAGCCTGTCTGCCTGTCAGCCTGTCAGCCAGCCAGCCAGCCAGCCAGCCTGCTTGCCTGCCTGCTTGCCTGCCTGCTTGCCTGCCTGCCTGTCTGCCTGCCTTTTCGTCTGTCGCTTTCTCTGACACGCGTACTATCAAATCAAATTTATCTTTTAAATTACGGTTTCAAAACAAAGAACCTCAACGCGTGGACGTTACGATAACCCAGCCCATCCGGAGTTGAAATCGCGTGTCCGGTTGTTATGCCCTATTATACGAGAGAGAGAGAGAGAGAGAGAGAGAGAGAGAGAGAGAGAGAGAGAGAGAGAGAGAGAGAGAGAGAGAGAGAGAGAGAGAGAGAGAGAGAGAGAGATGGAGGGAGGGATGGAGGGAGGGATAGAGGGAGGGAGGGAGGGAGGGAGGGAGGGATAGAGGGAGGGAGGGAGGGAGGGATAGAGGGAGGGAGGGAGGGAGGGAGGGAAAGAGAAAGAGAAAGAGATAAAGAAAAAGAAAGAGAGAGAGAGAGAGAGAGAGAGAGAGAGAGAGAGAGAGAGAGAGAGAGAGAGAGGAAAGAAGGCAGAAAACAGAAAGCTACAAACAGAACATATGGAAAATAACACAACAACAACAAAAAAAAGAACTCGTAGGTGGAAACGCAAGTGGTTCCCGACCGAACGTGTGTATGTGAAGGGGTGGTGGTGTGCGTGTGCATGTGTGTGCGTGTTCGGCAGGAGTGCGTAACCGCGAGTGTGCGTGAGAGAATGGCGAGGGGAGCGAATTAGGTGAAGAGGGGACACAATAGAAGGGTTACGTAATATATTTTAAAAAAGATGAAAGAGCGCCGAAACAATACGCTCCGTGTGGACTCAAGATGAAGAAAAAAAAATTTTAATAAAAATAGAAGAGAGAAAGGGGACACACAACAGAAACGTGAGGGGTGAATGAAGAAACGATAGAAAGGAGAAAAGACGGAAGAAAGTGCGGTGAACAGAGAAAATGTAAAGGACACGGACAAAAGAAACTATAAAATATATGGAGAAGGATGAAGGGGAAACATGAAAAAGGGGTGTGGAAAACCATGATAAAAGAAAATAAGAAAAACAGTGAATCAAGACAGCTAAAGAGAGTGATGTGAGAGAGGAGAGAGAGAGTGAGGCAGAGAGGGAGACAGAGAAAGAAAGAGAGAGAGAGAGAGAGAGACGAGAGAGAGAGGAGAGAGAGAGAGAGAGAGAGAGATGGAGGGAGGGAGGGAGGGAGGGAGGGGGAGGGAGGGAGGGAGGGAGGGAGGGAGGGAGGGAGGGGGGAGGGAAAGAGAAAGAGAGAGAGAGGAGAGGAGAGAGAGAGAGAGAGAGAGAGAGAGAGGAAAGAAGGCAGAAAACAGAAAGCTACAAACAGAACATATGGAAA